ATTTTCTTTATATTGTGGGGGAGGGATAAAAAGCAATAGAAAGATTGAGTAAAATAAGTAGCAAATTAAAAATAACAATGAAAAAATAATAAAAATAAAAATTTTTCCTGTTTTAGTTTAATAACGGGAAAAAAAAAAGAAAAAAGAAATATCGACGGCTTTTCAATGATTTTATTTGATTTAGTGCGAAGGGAGATAACACGAAGGTCTGGTTTTCCGATTACCTCCCTTGATATCTACCCGTGTTTTTTCATTTCTTTTTTTTTTTTTTAAGAATAATTCTTTTTAAAAACATGAAAAATATAGAGAAATGTTGGACTCAACACAGCACACACACACACACACACACACAACACACACACACATTTACAATATCACTTTCACCCAGACAGAAATAAATCAACATACACAAAACTTGGCGGAAATGAACACAGAAATTAAAGAAAAAAGAAAGAAAGAAAACAAAAAAGAAAAAGAAATGAGAAAAAAGAGAAAGAGAAAGAAAGAAAAGAAAGATGGGGAAAAAGATAAGAAAATAAAATAAAAAAAAAAAAACAAATATATCCAGATAGACACAAGACAACCATCTCAGCTTCAGTGGGAAGCTGTGCCCCCAGGCAACGCGGCTCCATTGCATGAAAAGGGGCTAGGTCAAAATTAATTCCTGATGCCTGAAGCATTCGAAAAAAAAAGGATAATAATAATAAGGAGGCTGAGCCAATTTTTGAAAAGATTATAACAATATTCTCCTATTGAAAAAAATGGATAATTGTGCCATCTCTCGATTCCGTTGGAGGAAAATTAAACAGAATAAAAACTGTTAGCAAAATAAAGACAGAATTTGAAAGAGCAATGCACCCAGACTGAGATAGATACACACACACACACACACACACACACACACACACAACTACACACACACACACACACACACACACATAACGACACCGAATCAGTTGAATAGAAAAAATGTTAAATTTCACTTATCGATTCTCTAAAATTATTCTTCAGGTGATGCTAAAAACGAACACGAAACAAAAAAGAAAAAAAAACAAACAAAACATTGATTGATGTATTTAAAATTCAAATCTTAAATAAATAAAAGATTTCGCACGTTCACCTGGTGATGGTTGGAGAATTTGCCAGGTGAAATATATCTATGAAAGAAATCTATCTAAAGATGGCGGAGGTTATATATATATATATATATCGATATTTATTTATAATTTTAATATTTAAGTTTTTGTTTCTTTTCTTTTTCCTTTCTTGCGATTAGAAGATGCTTTTTGCGAATAGCTGTTGAGTGTTGAGATTGTAATTTACAACAAACCAAAAGAAAGAAAGAAAAAAAAAAAAAGAAAGAAAGAAAAAAAAAAAGAATTAAAAGAAACAAAAGACGGAGAGAAAAACACTTGTGGTTATTGAATAGCTCATATTCTTATATATTTATATATCGTGGTCTGACGACGAAAAAAAACCTAATAAGTTTCAATTCCAAATTCTGTATTTCACGGCAGTATATTATGAATGCGGCCATATGTTAAAAAAAATAAATTTTAAAATAATTTAACAAAGTTAATTTTTAAAGTTGAGCCTGGAAGTAAGGTGATTTTTTTGGATACTAGATGAAAAAATCTTCAAATGTACGGATTTTGTAATGGATAAATTATTGGAAATATCGAAAAAAACCATATTTTCCAATTTCAATCGGGTTCGTTATACTCATTGGAAAACATATTGGAAAATATAACATTGGAAAAGATATGGAACCATCTCTTTGATTATATATCTTTTTGGGTTAATTTTATATATATATATATATATAAAATATTATATATATTTTTTTTATATATATATTTATTGGCTTTAATTATAACTGAAAATATGGAAGGTTTGACAAACCATAAAAAAATAAACCAAATCCAATCGATGTTTGAAATTAGCAAAAGAATTTATTAATTTTTTTTCGTGAATCCAAACCCAGTGTAGAATAGTTGAACAAAATTCAAGTTTATCGTAATGTCTAAAGATATTTATCTTAATCATATTCTCTCTACTCTCTCTCTCTGAAATATGATATTTCAATATATTTTTTAGGTGAAATTCCTTCGATATATTTTTTCTTTAGCTGTAACTTACTGTCTCTGGCTTGGACTTTTAGAATCTATATATATATATATATATATATATATATATTTCGATTTCTATATATATATATATATAATATCTTATATATATGTATATATATTTTTTTGTGTATGTATATTTCTCAAACATTCATTTTTTATTAAATTTATTCGTCACTTAGATTAAAGAAATTATTTCTTTAATTTTATCTTTCCGGTTATTCAATGAGTTATTTGATGTTAAAATCAATCTCTCAAGGAAGGCGCCATAATTTTCTTTAACTCGTTTTTTCTTTATTTTCTAAGATCATATTAGCTCTTACAAAGACACATTTTCTATCTTTTGTGTAAATAATCTTTTTAAGAGATAGTGATTTTTTAAAAATAAAGAGCGAAAAAATCTGTTATAGTTATTTTATCTCTGTCTAAATATTTATCTATTATCTATCTATCTATCTATCTATCTTTCATTTCTATACAACGGGCAATGGATCTATTTATTTTTTTTAAATTAATTAAATAGAAAATTATTTTTTTAATCTGACATTATTACATCAAATGTCATTTAGTGGATACTTTTTTTTTTTTAAAATAAAGGTTGATTTTTTTTATATAGAAAAAACGACGTTTATGTTTTTCTATAGGTCTGATTATTCAGAGAAATTTTAAAGAATATGTTGTCCTCAATATTTATATAAAATTTTGAAGCTGGACGGTAAATATTTTTGTTTGATCCGGTATATATAGACCAAAATTGGCTACGAAAGATACGCCAGCAAGGCTATTTTTCCTTTATATATATATATCGCCACAAATATTCTTAAATGTCTATAATTGATAACAGAAGCCACTGGTTTATACCAACGGCTTCCCATACTTAATACTTCTTGTTTTCAGTCTAGCGTGGTCATGTGTGACGTCATGAGCCGCGGTGCGATTTTCGCTTCCAGCGTCTCGTATGCACGAGTTTGTCGTTGCATTTGAAATCTTTCCATGTAAACAAAAACAGACTATCATTATTGTTTTGTCCGTGTATTGTTTAATATATTGTAATGTAATTGTCATCTTTGATAATGGCTTATGTAAGCCGAAAGCTTTAGATAGGATTAAAAATATGTATCAATATGGTGATTTTTTTCTTCTTTCAATGATAATGTTATTAACTTTATCAGATGATATGAAAAGAATTTACATAAAATAGACAAAACTTGTCTATATTATTTAATGAAAAATGCATCAATGAAAAAGTGCTGCTTCCTAAATACACACAATATATATGTGTGTGTGTGTGTGTGTGTGTGTGTGTGTGTTAAGTACGCCTCATATATATATATTTACGTTTTGTGTGTGTGTGTAACAACTGAGGCGGCGCACGGTGGAAAATAACGATGACCCACCCGGTGCCGTGCTAACTTGGTCCCGTTGACGCGTATTGATATCGCCGTCGAAGAGGGTTCGTATATACAATATACCACATATATCTTCAAGAACGCTTTGTTCATTTTTAGAAATTCATTTTAAACTTTAAGAATTATAATTTTTAAAAAAATAGATGTGGGAAGAAAAAAAAATAGATTTAGAAAATATCTGATGATAAGTTGCTCTTAGTAGGACGAGAAATAAGCAGACTCTGAAATTACAATTGAATCTACGGACTGTCAAGGATAACTTAGACCTTCCAAAGTTTGCACAAAAAGTACTATGCTTTGGGAACTTTTACAGTAAACATAATTTTCGTTGTATATATGTAACATTTATGAGGATAAAATACGGATATTTTTCCTGGGGTGTTTATAAATTGTACACTGTTTAATTATTAACGTTAGCAACGAACTGTTTTAAATTACAAAATTGTACTTGGATTAAACTCAAATTACTTACAATATAATACATATTATTTACAATATACTCTTTCATGCTGTCAATTTTGACGTCACGGGTACATTAGTAATGTATATATATATATATATATATATATATATATATATATATATATATATATATAATTGTGTATTTGGGCAGCAAACCAATTTTTTTTATACAAGTTTCGTCTAAAAAACGAGTTAAGTTTTTTTATTTATTTTTTTCTTGCGTTCTTATAATTTTTTTTTTTTTTTTTTTTTAACATAGATTATGCAGAAATTGTCCTAATATTCTTTATGTCCGAGTGTTTCGGCTATTCTTTTACCCATTATCAAGGATGATTTTATTTTTACATTTAACTCAATGTATGTATTTTTATGCTATATAAGAATGTTTTAGTTTCTAAACACTGTCAGCACATTGTGGCCGTGTTCATAGTAGATATTATTGAGTGTTAGCTCTTTCTTTTTTATTAATAATATTTCCATTATTTCTAGCCTTTTTTACATGTGGATGAGACTATTATGATTAATATTATTATTATTATTAACGAGTATCTTGTGGGATAAACATTCTTTTTTTAAACATTGTGAATTACATCTACCGGCATGTGCAATCTTATTTAGGAGAGAGCAATATAAGTTTTTATTAAGATAAAAGAATGCACAGACCGGTAGAAATAACTCACAATGTTTAAAATAACAGATCATCTACTCAAACACGTGCGTCTAGTAGAAAGCAAGAAAGAAAGTGTTGTGGTAGGATCCACCTAATTTGCATAGTGGAGTACCGACCATATAAATATGGTTGGTACCGGGAAGAGAGGGGGGAATCAAGAGATTCAACCAGAGACTCTGCCCGACTGCGACTAAGTCAACACATTCTCCAGAAACGGTCTTACCAGGAATATACAAAAGACTATATGTAAATATTGTGTACACTTTCTTGTTTCAATACATTTTATTCAAGTACATTTTGTGTTGCATTATTATTCCATGCATTAGTCAAGTTTCAACAGAAAGAACGAAAGAAAGAAAGAAAAGAAAAGGAAGGAAGGAAGGAAGGAAGGAAGGAAGGAAGGAAGGAAGGAAGGAAGGAACAAAAAACCTGTCAAAAATGACGCAATTATTTATATCTGGGACGGTGTTTCTACAAGGATCAAAGTATCTGCGCCGAATCGAAGTATCACCGGATTGGATCAGTGAAATTAAATATCTGTGTACGCACTGTGAAAATGTATTATTATTATTATTATTATTATTATTATTATTATTCCAGGTTGAATATCCTTTATCCGAAATTCCCAAACCCGAAAACCTCGAAAATCCGAAAGTTTTTCAGGTGTTGACATGATTTGCCACAGATGAAAATTTCAGAAACTCCAACTACGTAGACTAAATTGTCGCCATTTTTTTTTTTTTTTTTTTTTTTTGTTAGCGGTCACCACAGCAACAGCTTCGTTCGTGGCTTACTTACCAGGTGTTTTGTGTTCAGTATAGATAACATTCAAAATCTCAAAAAGTCCTACATATATATATATATATATATATATTTATTTTTTTTTTTTTTTGTAAATAGTGATCATGTTTTTATGTACACGTACAGAAAGTACAAAACATTATTTTGACGTGAACACTTAAAAATATATGTGAATATTACAAAGACTCCCTATATCATTACCTGATTGTGTATGTACACAAAATTTATATAAAACTACTTTTAGGGTATATGTTATAGTGATTTTCCAAGCATTGCTTAGATGTGGCACAAAGGCCGAAAAGAAGGTAAAAAACCCAGTGAGGACCGAACTCACTATTCAGTCGTAATTGTTCTAGCGAGACACGTTTATATAACCATTATGTGTGTTTCAAGGTGAGTTTAGGTATGCTATATAAAATTTTTTTAGGGTATATATATATATATATATATATATATATATATATATATATATATATATATATATATATATATATAAGCTGTGTTATGAAATGTCAAGGAATATCATGTTTGTTATAAAATAAGACATATCTCGGCTGATTTTACAGGCAAATGTTTCAAGAGCGAGAACCGGATGTAAAAGGACAAAGCCCCGTCACAAAATGAAAATTATATTTCTTTACAAATGTTCCCTACGCACGTGTTCCGGTCGAAAATAAAATAATATTTAAAGTGCTCTATTTTTCGTCCAATAAAAATGCTTCCCTCCTAATTATACTCGCTTCGTTTTTCGATCCTGTCAAGCCATAAAAAAAACGCTATAAAAGGGGTTACACGGAAGTTCAACAGTCATTCCACAGGTGCCAAGGATAGAGATCTGTCACGTTCAGCAGCTGACAGCAGGGGAGCATCAACCACCGTCAACATGTGTGAACTACTATGAGAGATCGACCTAGATCCGAAGCCGGCTTATGAACTTTACCACAAGGTAGCTGTCCCAAACCCACACGTTCCTGTTGAAATAAACAACGTAAATCTATTTCTGCTGAGAAAAATTTCTTTCTGGCAACCATACGCTTGTCTAAAACATGTTGACGTCTTGGATTCCAAAAAAAATAGTTGGCCCATTTTATAGATGCTATATTCAAATTAAATAGCCTGTACTTCCGGTCACAAGAATTTCGGATAAAAGATTCTCAGCCTGTTTTATTATTATTATTACAGTGTAATCCGGATATAAAAGACCCGGATATAAGAGAGATTTTCTCTGGTCCCAAATTAGAGCCTGTGTTAATGTATATAAAATAGACCAAACCCGGATATAAGAGAAACCCAGGATATAAGAGACTTCTCCGGTCCCGACAAATTTTCTTACATCCACACTGTACGTTAACTATTATTAATTTCATTGATTTAGATTCTGTCACTGGCGGACAATCTTTCAAAAAATATGATTTTTCCATAGAATTAATTTTGAAAACAAGAGAATTGAAATCAGTGAAGCAAAGAACAACATCATTCAAATAATCAGCAAAGTAACACTCACGCATAAATGACAGAAAGACACCGTCTTCCAAAAATATATTTGGCAAAGTCCAATAAACATATTGTGTAAACATATAATGCTGCATTGCATACATTGTTAACGGACAGATCAGTGGAAAACATGACAGATGTAAATAATGTCATAATATGCAACATCTTTAGAATTATACTGGAAAACTTAATGTCAAGACAAATAAAAGATTAAACAATAGACAAAAACGAGTCCTTGGAAGAGAAACCTGAAAGAAATTGTGAAAAATCACATGTGAATTATCGATACTAGATGAGATTTCAATAAATTTAAATATTCCAACACAGAAAAGTAAGATCAAACTGAAATATAACACTAAAGTAATAAATAAAACTCCACCAGTCAAGGGAATGCTTAAAACAAAAACGTGTAGTTAACGTTACAGAGAACAAGACGATATGAAAAGCTTTGTAAGTTTTACAAAGAATATAAAACCCGATACAGAGTGGGTCAAAAGAGAACAAGATAGAATGAAGGATATACATGTATAAGAATGGA